TGTAGTTGAAATACATACTTGCAGTATACTTGTAGATTAAGTGTAAATAGTAATAACCAGCCACTGTGATATCTTCAGAATATATATTTATAGTATCTGTATTCAATTAGTAGAGATCATTTTTACAATCAGTTGTATTGAGATCAAAGCACGAAAAGGTATAAGGACAATTAAAGTAACTAATTGGATTAGCAAATTTATGAACAATAGTATTTTCGCTAATTGTGTAATCTAACATGTAATCTTAAGGGCCATTATATTGATCATAATCACAATTTTGAGTGAAATTAATTGTGATGTTAACAGAAAAGTTTTTGAAAACATCAAGTGATCCTGTTAGTTATAAAATGTAAATTCCAGTATATTATTTATCGTTTGATTGTAAGGTTACTGTTTTATTATTAGTATTTACAGATATTATGTTAGTTAAGACTTAACTTGTGATAATTTTATAAGAAACAGTGATTACCCCGCATACTGTCTAGTTTGTTGATTGCTGAAAGTAATTAATGCTAAATGTAGATGCATTCTGTAGAATTGATTGCTCATAATAAAGCAATGGAGAATTGTATGATAATATCGAAGTTAAGCAAGGGTTAACTAGTCTTAAAACAAAATCAACATACTGATAGCTATTTTATTTACAGAAGACTTAGAGTCTTAAATTATAAGTATATGCAACAAATGGGTTTTTGGTATACACATGAATTTAAGATTGATTTGGAAAAATTTGATAGAACAAGTAGAAATAGTATAAAGTGTAATTTAATGGGCCACAATAACTGGGTTCGACTGTAAGATTTGTATAAGATATTATATATTTTGGTTCCCCTATTATATATGTGTATAAAGAGTCGAAAGGTTAGTATGTAAATTTAGCAATTCTGCACCTATTGGTTATATTGTACGAGAAGTTCATTTCATATTATGTATAATTATCTAGTGAAACTATAAATTTTAGAAGATGAACACCTACGTGTTATTATTATTCTGTCTTTAAAATTAATTTATCTAAATCCTAATCATAGTATAGTAGATCTGTTTAAACAAGAGAATTATTTTATTGAAAAAAGAGTTAGTAGGTCAATTTTAGAGGGCATTATTAAGTGTTATTTTATGCATTGTTGAGTTATTCAGTCGCATATTCTATATCACTTATATCTCTCTCCAAATACTCAATCTGAAATCCAGGTATTATCTTTGTATAATGACATTGGTTCAGTAATTCTACTTAGTAATTTATTTAGTATACTTATCCATGCTTAGACCTCTGAGTTAAAATAACAGAATAGTTTCCTGCCTTATTTATATCATTTGTCTAAACTCTTAGTTAGCCAGTTTAACTATCAACGAAAAATATTTACTAGTTGCATTATATAACTCCTTTAACTAAAATATGTTAAGAATAAATGATTTTGAATATTACCTGAACAAGCATAACTTAACTTATGAGTGCAATTTAATGGATAAATCTAACTAATCTCTGAAATATTTACTAACAAATCTGGATCAGTTATATTGTACTAAATTTTGAAATCTGTAATCTAAATCAACTGATCGTAAGCACAAGAAAACAATATGTCTATTTCATAAGTTACTGCGGTAGATATTTAAGGATAGAAGTACTAAAAGGCTATTATATTCAACTTTAGAGGGCTATAATCCAATATTATAAGATCATTAATATTCATAATTAGCTAGTTATAAACAATTTTGATACCATCTGGATAACTTAAGAGATTATTATCTTTATCAGTCACACTTTACAATTGTATTATTGTTGGGTAGCATTAGTACCTAGTGTCATTAAGTACGAAATTTGCAGTCAAATCAGATTACATCTTCTAGTTCAAATAATATTAAAATCTTTTTGTGGAATTAATCACTTTCATTTCTGTATAAGCACATTAAAATATAGTTATAAAGTTATAGACTGTTTTATTCTCGGTTCCAAATGTATTAAATCCAGTTATCTCAATAGTTTAAATCAATGTTGAGTAATTGGCATCTGCTGCATTGTTAGAATATGCACGAAGAAGATAGGGTTATTTAAAACCTAATTGAGGGTAAAACCCGACTACAATTGGATTTGCATTCTAAAAAGATTTCAATCTCTGTTTATACCTTATAGGCCCACATTCATCATAAGTTTAAGTGAATTAGGGGAAAAAAATATATCTTTCAGGGTCTTGTATGTAATATGTATAATTTGGTATTTAGCTAGCAAGTACTTAATTTATTTAGCAAACAGTTGTGTTACTCATTTAAATCACAAAGACTTGATATAATGAACTATATTCATTTTCACCATAATGTAACAGGTAATAAGTTTTTGCAACAGCAGGATTAGTTGAAAATACTTCAATGTAATTATCCTTAAGTTAAATAAAATCTAGGATAATCGGAAGTTTACTCAATGTCCGCAAACTATATTAGTATTTAGGACATTTATAAGCTAAATTTAAGCTTTCATCAAGACTTTATTGGTAAAAGTCTTTTCTTTCCAATTTAGTAGGGTCAGTGTTACTGGGAAGTATTTCATAATATAAATCAGATATAGCTGTCAATTCTGTAACTTACTCTAGCACGCATTAATGTCTTATATTTACTGTTAAATCATAAGATACATTTTTGACTTCGAATCCGGTTACTAATACCCAAAATGAGATAATATAAACTCCATGATAATCATTACTGTCAGTGAAAATTTCCATTGTTCTATTCATGTTATCAAATGTTATGAAGCTTGTGTCATTATCTATTGGCATTCTCAAATCATAGGAAAGAGTACAATTGCTGTTATCAATATTGAAGATAGGAAACTAATAGATTATTTTTTGTGTTTTTTTGATGTTGAAATAGAAATCTGTTTTTATTTAAGATAAAGCTGTGATATTTGCATTCATACACTCATGTTTAATAGTTATTACTTAAACAGTCATGTAGTGCAAATTCTTAACATATTAATGGATCTCTACTTCATAAGTTTAAGAATCAGAATTATTTGAGCTCTCCACTACTAATATCTTTGTACTTTCAAAGTATTTTACTGGATAAGTGACTTCATTTAAATCTATCATTGGATTTCTACCTGTCTATTTTACTTCATATCTAATTTCAACTAATCTTCCATCACATTTATTGTTCAAATTGGTTTCTAATTAAATTATTAGCTTTCCTTAGTTAACATAGTATACCCAATAGTCTAGTTTATAATCAAAAGTAATATATGAATAGTCATAATCAGAAATATCAAAAGATTTTCCATATATTGCTAATGGGAGAACTTCTAAAGTTAAATTGAAGTCATCTAAAATTTGAATATCATTTAATAAAGTAAAAGATTAAGGCTATGGGAATAAGAAGCCACCGCCAATAGACTTTTCACTCTACATCGATGCTAAGAGTAATCCTCTCTATTTTTTGAATTTTCTTGAATATTCGTAGTAAGATAAAGATTGTTTAGCACCAACTATAAAGAATTAAGGAGTCTTTTAAAATATCAAAGCTTCAGAAAAAAGTTATTTTATGTCATCTTTACCAATATAACTTATTTTATAATATACGCTATTATTAGGTTAACTGAAATCGATCAAAGTAGAAGCTAAACCTTCAGGATTCATTATGACTAATATAGCATGAGTTAGATTTTTCATAGTTAAATCATACAGCTTTTCAACCTCATTTAATTACCTAATATATTATTTAAATGATTTTATAAACTTACAGTAGAATACTTGAAGTGAAATTTTAATTTTCATCTAGATATTAAGCCCATATATAAAAACTTTAGCTATCTACTTTCAGCCCAGAAGAAACAAGTACAGACTCATTACTAATTACATCTTAATAATGTGCAAGTCTTATTTTTATACTCTAGCAAATTTATTATGAAGCTATGTTGTATTTAAAATATCTTGGGGACAGATAAATCTGATCAAGATCTAATCTCGATATTAAGGGATAAATAGAATCTTAGAGACATAATGATCCACTTAAATAAAAAATAGCATCTTAAGCATTTTAAGTCAATATAATTTAATCAACTCTTGCTTATTAAGATATATTGTCATCTTCCATTCTGTAGAGATTTACCTCTTAGTAGCTTACCCATAACTAAACTGACAAAATCACCATTTTTTTATCATAAGATGCGGGAAATAGCAAATAATTTTCACCATTGAAATCATATTTTATAACTCTTATATATTTTGCAAAACTTAATGATTGAGTATCTTGGATTCCAATACTTTTATACTCTGCTGTG